GAGGGACGACAACGAACAAAAAAAGCCAAGTAGAGGGACGACGTTTTGGCTCTTTGGAGAGTAGAGGGACAACAACGAACATGACCTTAGTAGAGGGACAAGAACGAATAAAATATTAAAGTAGAGGGACGACAGTTGGCTTTAAACCTCATTTTCTCCTTAGAACTTGAAAGATGTACTAAAAGTCTAGCCTATACCTTCATTGCCTAGTTTATGAACAGAGTACCCAAATTTTGCTTAGATTTGTTTTCCCCCTTCTAATCAAGTTAAGGAAACACAAAAAGATAAATCTCGAGTCTAGCTCTATAGAGTAAAGAGATCATCACCATTTACCTGCAAATAATTTTGGCCAATAAACCCGATTGAGCTATTATTATTGTGTCCACTATTATCTTTAGATTAGTAGTACTTCTGAATCAATATAACTCTCCATACACCTAAAAAATGACACATTTAACGTGTTTTAATTTAGCATGTTCTAATTTAATTAAATGAAAATTATTATCTCTATTTCCTCCCAAAAACCTTCATATATGGAAGATGAATTTATGACATTTAAAATTGTGTGGTTCCACATTTAGTTTTTTTTTTTGGTAAAATCACATTTAAGTTGTTAATGAGGTCACATTGGCTGATTTCACCTTATTTAATAGAATATAGTTCCAAAATTAAATTACAAACTTCGCTCAAAGCTACATTATTTACTATAATACAAATTGAAAGAAAAATTTTCATTGTAGCTTGAGTTATTATCTTGGTAGACAAACAAGCAAACATACTATGTAAACAGATATCAAATAAATAAGTTAGGTAATAATAATTCTAGACACCTATACTTTTGTTCTAATACTCTATTTCATTCAGGTAACACTTGTATTCAAAGCAATTGCTCACATTTGCATATGAATTTCAAGATGATGTTATTTTGAATTATGCTTCTTAATACATAGTCTTCAAAATAATATTGTTTAAGTTTACAAGATTTTTAATTTTCTTGTAGTCTAAATTCACAAGTTATATTAAGTAATAAAAAAATATTTTATAATTCAAGTTACAAAACGATAATTATTAAATATAATGAACTTTTAAAATAAAGATAAAACATATAAATTACTTTATTTAATAATTTTTTTGAACAATTTTTATCATGAGATCGACTAGAACCATTATCCTTAAAAAGAAAAGGGAGAAATGAACCTTACAAAAATGACTAACAGCACTTGACCCATAAGACTAAGTCCTATTTTATTTAATAATTATTTATAGTATAAAATATAAAATAGTGAAGTCATAAGTAGTTGTGGCTTTTTTCCTTTTTTTTTTAATAAAATGGTAAATGTCATCATGCCTCCTATGTCATCATTCAATTAATGCTTTGAAAATCAAATAGTTGAATTAAATATTTTATTTATGTTGATTATGAATGGTAACTTTCAATCACCATATATAACCAATTTTTTACCCTTTTCTTTTTTTTTAAAGAAATGTATTTTCATTAGAAAAAACAATATTAAAATTTTGTATATCAATATAAAAATTGTTATGATAATTTGCGTAAATAAGATAGTATTTAGTTTGATGATTAATTTTTTAAATATATTAGGGATTCATATTTTAATTTTAATATGCAATTTGTCTTATAAATATATTTTTAAAAATATTAATTAAATAAAAATATTTTATTTTATCATTAAAATTATATTAATTGCTAAATGAGTTATTGGATAAGAAAAGCATATATATTTATTTAATAATTAATATTATATAATTCGATAGAATTTACATTATAATAACATTTATAGACGGACACACTAAGAAAAATTAGAAGAACATCCTTATATAAGAAATGATTTTGGGATAATTTTTTAATATTATTTTTTTGTATAATTTAACATGTTATTTAAATAATTGATATTTTTAATTCATATAAAATTTATAATATTAAATATATCAATTTATTTAATAATATATAAAAATTATATCAAAAATTAATATAAAAATATTATCTTTATAACACCATCAGCCTTCTATTCACTCTTCTCAATAAGAAATTATATTAATATTTTTACACTGTTCAGTCTAAGAAAATAAGAAATTATTCCAAAACTGACCTGCCAAAGTTCTGGTTTGCCAAACAGACGCAAGCCGACGAGGCCGAAAAGATTACCCACGTTGCAATTTGTAGTTAGTCAGCGCTCCTCCCTTTGACCGTTTCGTGTTAGAAAGGAGACCGACCGCCATCTACAACTACATCTACCCATCGCCGCCGATTGTTATTTTCAAGGAAAAAATAAAACAAAATAAAATAAATCCCCCTTTTTTATAATTTTAAGTTTTATAAGATTTATTGTTACTTTATATATATATATATATATTTTAATTTTAAAGAAGCGAGATCGCCAAATCTCTCCAAAAAAATTTTACCCAAAAAATTCTAAAGTCCCAAAATCCATCACTATGGCCTTTCATGTAGCTTGCCCCATTACATGGTACTACTACTACTCCTACTACTACAATAATGTTCACTGTGTCTCTCCCTCCCTTTAACAACATCTCTTCCTCTCCCTCATTCTCTGCTTATTCATGTTTCTGCTTTCTCTTTGTTTTGTAGCCGCCGAATCTGCTTCTGTTCGCTAGGGTTTCCTCCTAATCTTCAGCCGCCTGACTCCAACAATGCTTTCTTCGACCATGTGCTGAGGCTCCATGAATTCTTCCAGGATCCCTGGGGGATTAGGGTTTCCACTCAGGGGACCGTGCAGGTATCGGTGCCCAAGGTTGAGCCGGTTCGTTCTTCAGATGGCGCCTATGTGGTTGATGATCCAGCGCAGGCCAAACGACTTGCGGTTCAGAGGAGGGTTGCTGTGGTGGCTGCGGAGGATTATGCTAGGAGGGTTCAGTCTGGGGACATTGCGGTACGGTTGTTGCATTGCATTGAATTTCATGCTCTGTTTATTTCCATACGGATACATGACATTTTGTGAATAATTTGTGTTTTTGAATTCTGAATTGTCATAGAGATGGTTTTTGTGTGGTGCTTTAAAAATTCTATAGCGATTTAGCAGCTAGTTAATTGGAATCTAGCAACAATTTAGGTTTGTTGGAGTTGAATTTTGTATGTCATATAGATAGGTTTTGCAAATTATTTAGGTTTGTTGAGCAACTAATTGTTTCTTAGTTGAAATTGGGTTTCCAGATCTATAATTTCTTTTCTTTTATTATAGGTTGCTTCCAAAAACCCAGCTGGAGAAGAGCAAGATCAATCCAGCACAAATGTAATGTGCCACATGTGCTTTTTGACTGAAAATGAAGGAAGCGAGAGAGCAAGAAGAGTGCTCTCATGCCCAATTTGTGATAAGAAGTACCACAGGAGCTGCCTCAAGTCTTGGGCTCAACATAGAGGTATCATATTTGTGCCCCATAATTTGATAAGCATGCACGCGTTGTACATTCTCAAGTTGTAGCATGATTGCAGATTTATTTCATTGGAGTTCCTGGACCTGCCCTTATTGCAGAACATGTGAGGTAAATTATATGCACTTTACTGCTAAACTACTTACTTAGTTGCACTTGCTAAAGTTCAATGCTATTTCTATGAGGCCCTATGCTGGGATTTTACTTGTGATCTTCTCATCTTCTTACAATAACCTGCAAAATATTATATTGATGCTTGTTGTCTCGTTATTTTGTTATCTGCTTAAATTGATTCTTGAACTGTGCTCTCAGCATTTTGATGCCTTTTTTTCTTAAGGTGTGCCGAAGCACTGGAGACCCAACTAGGCTTATGTTCTGCAAAAGGTGTGATGGTGCATACCATTGTCATTGTCAGCATCCTTCTCACAAGGTGGGTGTGTATTGCCTATTTCTGACTTTTGCATCTTCATTACAATAGCATGACGGGTATTGATTTCCTGGATTATGCAGAATGTTACTCCTGGACCATATTTGTGCCCAAAGCATACACAATGTCACAGCTGTGGATCAGCTGTCCCTGGAAATGGTTTAAGTGTGCGGTATGATTGCTAACCCTTGGGGAAGCTTCTGGTTATATTTTATTTTATGTGCGTATTGATGTTTTTTATTATTTAAAATAGTATATTATCTTGTTTGCTTCGGTAGTGTTTTAGAATTGATGGCTGATGATTTTTGTTGACCATTAAAATTGGCTGAAATGTTTCATTGTTTGCTTTTGATACTCGCAGTTGGTTTCTGGGATATACTTGTTGTGATGCTTGTGGAAGGTTGTTTGTGAAAGGAAATTATTGTCCTATATGTTTGAAGGTATTGTTCATACTTCATACTTCTTAAGAATTGTGGGTATTTTTAGGTTTGATATATTTTAATCATTTTCTAGTTTCTTGCTTGTGGACTGCATGATTAATGTAGTAGTCAGTCTCCTATCCTAACCAATGCTAATAGTCCAGTTGCTCAATCTCAACAGCATTCCATCCATATCTGAGTTGCTCAACTTGCATTATTTGTAACAATGGCCATCTGAATACTGATAGTTCCTATAAATAAGTTAAAAAATGTACTTATTGTTTTTGGCCCAACCTGTAGGTTTACAGGGATTCAGAATCAACACCAATGGTCTGTTGTGATGTTTGCCAGCGCTGGGTGCACTGTCAATGTGATGGCATCAGGTTCATTATGACCCTTAAGCTCAATTTTGTCTATCTCATTTTACTTAATATTTCTGATTGAGGAATTATATCTTTGCTGTTAAATATATATTTTTTAAATATTCTATTGAGCAACTATGATCAGGGCTCTATAACATCTTATGTGTTGCTCAACATATGTGTATATGCTATCTCTATGAGTTAATTGTTTTCTTGTTGAAGGCTTTGAAGCAAACACATCATATTACATAACTTTTAGGCATTTACCTGACCTATGAAATGGACCTTCTAATGGGTTTCTATTTTAGATGCGCATCTATTGCTCGTTGAAAACTACAAGTTTCTAAATCAGTCTTCTACTATCTACATGCTGGAATAGTTCTCTAGAGAAGTGCCTCTTTTTTTTGCCCCCCATTTTATGAGCTTGGAAGTTAGTCTATTTGTTTATACGTTGCATATCATTGCTCATTCATGGAAAAACGTTTTGCTTTTGCAGTGATGAAAAGTACTTGCAGTTTCAAGTAGATGGGAATCTCCAGTACAAATGTGCCACTTGTCGTGGAGAGTGCTACCAGGTTGTTCACTCTCCCTTCCCCAAAGAGGAGGGAAGAGTTAATTGGAACTGATGTCTAAATTACTGACTTTCCCATCTAATTGACTTTTTGTTGCTGTTGCCAGGTTAAGGATCTTGAGGATGCTGTTCGAGAGCTCTGGAGGAGAAGAGACAAAGCTGATCAACATCTAATTGCTAGCTTGAGGGCTGCTGCTGGGTTGCTGACCCAAGAAGAAATATTTTCCATCTCTCCATTTTCAGATGATGAAGAAAATGGTCCTATGTTATCAAAGAATGAATTTGGACGTTCCATAAAATTCTCTCTCAAAGGTTTAGTTGACAAGTCACCAAGGAAGACAAAGGAATATGGAAAGAAATCCAAAAAGCATTCTAAGAAAAAAGCTTACCAGGCATCTTTAACAAGTAAAGCAGAACCGAACCAGAGTTTTGAGGGAGATCATGATGCCCAATCTCGGGAATATAGTGTAGGGGATGACAGGAATGATGAAATTTTGTCTAATAGAAGTGAAGGACAAGATATTTCTTCTGTTGCAGGAATTTGCTTTACTAATCAACCAGGAGTTTTGAAGCACAAGCTTGTGAATGAAGTGATGGTGAGTGATGAAGATAGAACTCCACAGGTTGTTAAAATTAAGAGGAGCAAGCCCCTCACATTGGATAGTGGATATGATGCTGGAAAACATGGTAGCAAGTCAAAGACTGTTAAGGCGAAGAAGTTAGTCATAAATTTAGGTGCACGGAAAATAAATGTAACAGACTCTCCAAAGGCTGATGCTTCAAGTCTTCAAAGAGAACAAGAGTCAATTTTGTTGAATGGTATGTGCTTACTTTTATGTCCCTAAGATATCTCATAGCTTGTGCCCCATATGTAGAATACTCGAATGACCATAACCGTTCTACGGAATGATTTCACTTTAGACTTTTAGTTGCTTTTGTGCTTGCAACCTTCTTAGTTGTTACCCTCCAAATGTCAGTATTGAATGTGGAATAGGTTCTTGCTCTTTTATTTGAGTGCTTAATTACATTTATGATTTAATCCTATTTCATTTTTATTGATAAAAAGAATTGTGTAGATCGTGTCTATGTGGTACAGCAGTAATTATTATCCTTGTGTAGGCTTGTACTGTTGGTTTCTTAAAAAATTTATCTGAAATGGTTCTTTGCCCTTCCTTCTCTATTTGACTCATTCGCTGGTGTTTAAGATGCAGGCCAGCAGAAAATGGTTGACAAGTTTATGCTGGATAGACATGACAGAACTGCTAAATCTTTTGATGGTAAATCTCAGTAACTGGTGTTTAAGATGGAGGCCAGCAGAAAAGAATTGTGCACACACACACACACGCACATGGAATAAAGAATAATTAAAAGGAACTGATGGCTGCCACTACTTTCTGGAGTTGCTTTTCGTGTCTCTTCTTGAGGGCATAATTGCAAAATTTTTACTCCTTGCAGGGGACAAAGTTGATCGGTCTGGCCAATCAAGAGGTTTAAAAATTGCTGGAAGAGAAGGAAATTTGACAAAATTTGGAAAAATTAGGTCTGAGATTCCTGACGTGAACCCTAAAGTTGATAGGGGGAATGGTGCTGATGGATATGCAACTACCCCAGAGCAATCACGTGTTGCATCAGGAAAGAGAAGCATTGAAGGAATCAGGATTACAGCTGGATCTGTGGGTGAGGTTCCTTCATCAAGAGGAGGCAAGGCAATTTTAGGGACACGATTTGAAGGTGAGGCTGATGCATATGGTGAAAGCAATGAAGATTATGTTCACACCCCTGTCTCAAAAGATTCCAAACCTTCTTTGAAATTTAAATTCAAGAAACCCAATCTTGATAACCAGAATTCTCAGGTTCCACAAAATGTGGAAGAAAAGACTTTAGTTAAAGGCCAAAGGTCAAAAAGAAAGAGACCGTTGCCCTACATGGATAAATCACCATTTAGTTACGAGGAAGAGGGTGAAGTCACACAATCAAATCAAGACAGTTCAATGGATGAGATGATGGCTGCCAATTGGATTTTGAAGAAGTTGGGTAAAGATGCAATTGGAAAGAGAGTTGAAGTTCACCAGGCATCTGATAATTCATGGTGAGTTGAAGTTCTAGTTTTCAAGACTAAGATTTGTCATAAATCTGTCGTTTACCCCCCCACTTGTGACGGCAGAACTGGTGCTCATTTTCCAGAGGTTAAGGTCCATAACTGGAGAGAAAAATCAAGTGCATATAGTTATTTGTTTTCTTGTTTTTTAAGTTTCATGAAAGATGAGCATTGATCTTTGTTTAAATTTCCTGATAATGTCAGCTTTCAAGATATATTCCCCGAAACTGTATTCTCATTTTCCCAAATTTAATATCCAGGCATAAGGGAGATGTTACCAACATCGAAGGGACATCAACATTATCTGTTAAGCTGGATGATGGGAGACTGAAGACTCTGGAACTTGGTAAGCAGAGCGTTCGCTTTGTTCTTCAAAAGCAAAAGAGGTCAAAATTTTGAAGGCAAAACTGTTGTTGTGTTGTTTAACTTAGTAGGAGTCTCCCTTCCATTGTAAAGATGATTCAGCTTGTACATTCACAATCACAAGGCCTCAGTAGTTAGGTCCACCCATGTCGTGTATGGCTTTCTTCATTCTCAGCATTTTATGGTGTATCTTGTTTATTCATTTTAGAGGTGAAGAAGAATCAAGCCTGTCAAATCAGGCTTCACCATTTCTCGTTTTGGTAATTAAATCGAAGTTTAGTGTAGTAGCGATTTTTTTATTCTTGATTTCATTAAAAAAAATTTTAAAATCCTAAAATAAAATTGAAATTTTTTTTAAATTAGGTAGCTATTTAGTATTGGACATTGGTAGTTATAAAAATTTGTACTCAATAAATTGGTATTTTTATTTTTTAATTTTGATTTTTAATTGTTTAAAATTTTGGTAACCAAAATCCCTTTAACTAAGAGAAAAAAAAAAAAAAAAAACCAGAATCAGGGGAATTCATTCCCTTGTGAAGTGTGAATCGCAGTCACTACTAAAATTATTAAAATATTATTAGTAAATGAACAGAAAAATAATTTAATTAAAAACATTTTAATTTATAAACTAAATAAAAATACATAATTCATATTTAAAAATATATTTATAGAAAATAGAAAGTGGGACATAATTTAAAAAGTACCACTGTGAAGTTTCCAAATTCAAGAGACCCCTTCAGCATAAGATGTACAGTATGGGTTTAGTTTAGGATGTGCAGTCTGACGTCCGGACTGCCCATAACTATTATGTTCTTTTTTTTTTCTTTTTTTTTTTTATTAATCTCTCAAAATTAGGTTAAATCTCAACTAATTTAAAATTAAAATTAAATTATATTATATTTTATTAAAATTTTTTTTACAATATTTATTTTTTTATTCACAATATTCAAATTTAAAATTTTACTTAATACTCAAACTCAAAATTATTTAAGGAAAACTGAAACTCAAAATCTTAAAACTTAAGTCCTTCCCTTAAGATCAACAGTTGGTTGGTACAGCTATTATTTTCTCAATTAACGATTTTACCACCTCGGGATTTACATTTCGTCTTTAAAGTGCCGAAATCTTTCCATTCCATTCCATTCCTCAACCACCATGGAAGCACAGAAAGACTACGACGCCTCCTGGAGCTCCGTGACCAACTGGACAATCGCCTGCGGTTCTCTGGATAAATCCGTTACTTTCGAGTCCTCTTTAGCTCCAATCCCCGACAACAATAATGGTGGTAACGAAGATGGTGCGAACCAAGTCGAGTCCGCTCGCAAATCTCCCCTCATCTTGTGCCCTACTTCTCCTGATGCCTCCCCTTGCGAGATCACCAGTGAGTACACCGAATTTTCGATTCCCTTAACTGTTCTCTGTTTAGAGAAATTGATTTATTTCAGCCCTTTTCTAGATGATAGAAGCACGAAAAGTTAGTAAAAAATTAAACTTTAGCTTGTTTGACGTGAAATTAGACTTCTAAAGGTTTGATCTTTCATGGTGGTGTGTTCTGGGCCTGAGGAGTGAGTTGGATTCCTTCTGAAGTTTAGGAATTTTGTTGCGATGTGGATGCTCCTAAGTTGATCGCACCTGGCTGTGTCAAATCTTTACTTTCTGATTTAGGAATTCACTAATCAAACTGATGCTAGTATGAAGTCAGAATTAGCATTAGAGTTTAGAACTTGCAATTTCAGAACCCCAAAAAAGGTTCAGATTTTAAGTGGAGAAGTATAATCTTAATTTCTGCTTATCTTGTGTATTGACAATACAGGGTTTTGTCATAGTTCCCTGAATTGTGTATCTTAAGGATCAGGGTTGAGGCTGTTGAATTTTGACGACTTGCTGAAAGAAGGGGTGTTGTGATTTTTGTTATTCTCTATTTTATCTACCGATTCAGCTCTTCGGAAGAGGCAGTTGTCTCCGTTTATGTGTTAGATAGAATGGTTAGCAGAATCAAATGTCTAGAGTATGAATGCTTTTGGCCAATTCATTAACTACTTTGAGTATGCATGGGAGGGATGGTGTTACGTATTTCTGCCAAATCTTTCTATTATTAAGTTTGGCGGCTACCATTTTGATTTGTTTCAATTCTTCCAAGTGCTATTTTGAGCCCTCCCTTGTGCAACCAATTTCCATTTCCATGTATTGAAAATCTTCCATGGGAAGTAACTCATTTTGAGAAATTCAGTTTCGAGGCACACTTTACCATCATCTGTCTTTCAAGTGCTTAATTTTGGAGATTGGATTATTCATTTAGTTTAGGATGGAAACCTGTAGACTGTTGTAGATTATTGGACCTTATTATATGAAATTTACTTTTGAAGAAAGGATAATTAAAGAGGCAATACCATAAATGTATCAAGTGGCAATTACTTTTGCCCTAGCTATTGGTAACCACTGTGACAGCTTCTGTTGCTCATATTTTTCATATTACTTGTCAATAATCAATATGGCTTTTGTTTGCACAATTCTACATGTATTAAATCCTTTTGCTTACTCATTACAAGTGATCACAAGCTCTTGTTCTGCAGTTACTTTTGAACAAAAACATGAAGTGCGGCAAGTTTATGTCCGAAGCACTGCTCGGGTTTTTGAAATATACTATGCACCTTCACTTCAGTCCATAAATGAGTATCTCTGTACCGTTCGTTGTGGTATAGCTACAAGAGATGAAGAAGTGCTTCAGACAATGCGTATCGAAGAAGCTGCTTTGACTCATCCGAAGGGAGCTGATAAAAGGCTGGATGTAAAGAGAACGAGCAATGAAAGTAATTTGAGCACCACTGAAGATGACTGGGTTGAAGTGAAAGCTCATGATACTTCTGTTGTTTGTAATGGAACTGTGCCTTCATTTTTTAATAGAAGGACACAGGTAAGAATTTTTTCTTTTCCTCGTTGCAGTTTGATCCTAACAATTGTTAGCATTTTGACCACCTCCCTCCTGGCAGTTTAAATGTTAAAAAATGATCATTTTCATCATATATTCTTCCACTTAAAAATTTCAGGATTTGTATGAGGCCACTGCAGAGATTACTGACGCAGACCCTTGCACTTCCATCACCCTCCGTCTGCTTTCACTTCAGAATAAAGGTTGTCTTTTTGTTGATGAAGTCTATGTCTTTGCTGATCCCATCGATTTAGATGAATCAGAAAACCAGTCAGACCCAATGGGAAACTCAGGTGGAAGTACTCTCATGGCCATGCTTGCTCCTACTCTTTTACAATTATCTAAGACAACAGTGCTTCGCCAAATACAAAATGAGCACACTTTTGACACACAGGAAAAAGAGAAGACAAAGAAAAGTGGGTCAAATATGGTTGAACCATTGATTTTTGCAAATAGAATACAAGGAGGAAAATCCAGTTCCTCTGATCAGCAGCAAGTGAAGCTGCAGGAAGCTGTTGAGGAGCCTGCAAAAGCAGCTCATCATGAAGTCCCCACTCATGTTTCTGATAGAGAAATTAAGCCAGATCAATTGCATATTCATGTTGAAAGTGTCCTGGATCAACTTGTTTCTCGCGTGAGCAGAGTGGAGGATCTCTTGTTAAGCTTTGAAGAGAAAATGTTAAAGCCCATAAGCAGTCTTGATGCCAGGCTTCAGCGGGTAGAACAGCAACTTGAAGAGATTGGCAGAAAGGGCCAAAATCCTGGGTTACCATGTTGCACAAGATTTTATGCTCCTGAATTTTCATGCTGTGATTCTGATCCTCACTCTTCTGGTAACATTGGAAAAGATCCAGTTAGTTTTGAGAAGGATTTTTCATCTACCTCTCCTAATGGCATGGATCACTCTGTAAATTCCACTCAACCATTCCCAAGTCTTGTGGTTACTGCTCCTGATTTTCCCAGTGCTGATGATGAGGGTGAAGAAGATCATGCATTAGTGACCAACTCACCTAAAGGTAAGCCAAAGAATGCTTTGGCAATTGATGATGCCTTAGCATCTGCCCTTGCCAGTTTCCTGTCTTCAACTTCAATGGAGCGGCAGAAGTATATTCAAGCTCTTGTAGTTAAGGCTCCTGACTTTTCAAATGAAGAGGATGGCAGCAGCGATAGTGAGGCTTTGCCAAAATTGGAGGTGGAAATCACATCTCCGCCTTCAAGCTGTACTGCTGAGGCCAATATGATGGGTTGTGTAAAAGATTTAGCATCACCCTCTTCAGAATGTTTGTTAGAGAGTGCAGGGGAAGTGATTTGCTCTCCTAATGACAAGCACTTGAAGAGAGAAGCAGTTGAAGATGTAGAGGAACAGTGCAAGCCTCAAGAGGAAGGAGAAGATGATTCACAGGTCAGGGATATTGACTGCAAAGTTGCCCTAGTTAGACATGAAATGGAAGAGGAAGACATAGGAAATGGGGAAGCTAGCAAGAAATCAAATGAATTTTTGATTCTTGAGGAAGCTGAAAATCTGAGCCAGTTCCCCGAAGCTCAGGATTATGATGGATCTGATACTACCCAGGAAGGAGTTGTTGAAAACTGTGAACTAAAGGTAGAAGCTGTAAAAGAAGGATCTTCTGAAGGTATTCTTCAAAATGTTCCCAAGTTTCCACATGCTGCTTCTTTGGTGGATTTTGAAACTTCAATACTGGATGTGAAGTTTATTTCTGAGAAGAACTCCAATATGAAGTTTTCCCTTGAAGCCCTTCTGTCTGACATGTCAGTTGCAGAATATGAGGATCCTTGCACAGAGGAAACCAACGGTGGTTTCCAAATCAGTGAGCTATCTGACTTGATTCCAATACTGGCTGAGGAGGAAACTGGTTCTGCAACTGGCAGTTATTGCATCCCAATGGATGAGAATTTTTACAGTATAAGCAATGTCCCTCTAAACATGGAGAATGAAAATCTGGAGGACTATCATGCATGCAACAACCAGGTTCTTGCAAGTGCGAGTCTAATATGAAAAATGCAACCATGTATTCCATACTGATGGCTTGTAGATAATCTGCTTTATTTGATGAAGAAAGGTAGGTAGGAGCTAATTCTTGTTCTTGTTAATATTTAGCTTTATCTCAGTATGTAGTCGCAGGAACTGATTGAATCTCTATTAATAATCTGGATGTGTTTTATTCACTCCAAATTTTAACAGATTTTTCCTCCTCCTTAACTATTTTGAAACATGACCAATAATTAATTGGAGAAAAATGTTTGTCATTTCATTCCTACCTTATAAAAATATACTATTGAGTTTTATAATTATTCGTGGAAAATAACAGTGAGGTGAT